CCCTAATTATCCTAATTAATAATTGTAATTAAAGAATCTATTTAATATGAGTTATTGGATTAAATAGAGATAGAGAGCCAAATTTTGTCCCTACATTTACAATTGAAAATTGGGTTTTATTTGACATTTAGGGGCCGTTTACTAAACGTTTATTCGGTAAGTACTTATCGGGTAATTTTCCTCATCGGATGAATATGGCAAGGGCCAAGAATCTTATCTGGGAAGAGCGATGATAAGAATGAAGAGTCTTACCCGGTAAGTAAGTGAGGGTGACGATTCTTACTCGGGTAAGCACTTACTAGGTAAATTGGTATATAGGATACGTTTTGATGTACTACAATCTTACCTAATAAAATAAATTATAGTGTTGACTCCTAATATTAAGCACTTACCGGGTAAGCATTTAGGTAAACGGCCCCTTTCTCTCTCGCTCTCTCTCTCACCTCTCCTTCTTCATCCCTAACCTGTTGTAACCACCTCCCAAAAATTCTTGTTGCTGATGATGGAAGGGAAAGGGTGATGGAGGCGTCGATGTAACCACCTCCCCAAAAAGAATTCTTGCTACTGCTGATGGAGGCGCCGATGGAAGGGAAAGGGTGAGGAAGAAGAGGTTTTTTCAGGGTTTTAAAATGATAAATATGGAAATCAAATAAATATATATTTATGAGTTGTTATCAATATAATAAATTACATAATTATCCTTTATATTTATTTAATAAATAAAACTAACTAAATTAAATAAGTGGATTTGGAGTTTGGACTAAGATGGATCTCACATTTTAAGGAGTTGTCATCAATATAATAAATTACATAATTATCCTTTATATTTATATATATATATATATATATATATTTATATATATATGGTATATTTCAAATGCAACATTATCCATTTGTATAACCAATGCAACCCAATTAATTGAGATATTTATGTAAATGATGAGAGTTTATTTATTATGATTTGAATATTTATGAAACATAAATAGAGTTCATTAATTATGATCAATAATTTATATTATTAAACAATAAAAACTTTTATAAAATCACATATTCATCAAATTAAATGGACGATTGAAATTGAGTTGTATTGGTTGTACAAATGTAAAGAATTGTATAACAACTCACCTTTATATATATATATATATATATATATATGTTCCAATTGTCGATAAAAAACCATCAAAATGCTCCCTTTTTTTCTAATAATAAGGTACGACAATAAGTTTTTCAAAGCCCCAACAAGCATGTCCATAGTACCTGTGGAATCAACTGTATGTGTTTGGGTGAAAGTTCGTGGGTTTGGTGTAGTGAAAGAGAACAAGTAGCTTCAGTTACTGAACAAGGCAAGTATACCTAGGAAATTGAGATTGGGATCCCATTGATCCAGCGGAAGCAACGGCTAGGGCATGGATATATATATATATATAGCTTGGTTCAAATACTAAGCAATTTTTTTGTGTTAACTATGTTAACCAAGCTCAACCAATCATATTCCATCTGTTTCTTTGGTTCAAATGTAACTCATATATTAAATACAAGGGTATTTAAATAATTTGTCATTTTATGTAACTCTCAAATAATTAATTGAGAGTTACAAATATGAAAATATCACAATTGATCATGATGCAATATTGACATTGGGGTTTCACACGTGTTCATGTTCTATAATTCACATTTATTTTAATCGACAGTTCTCACATTTGACATATGAACATATCAGAAATCACACAGCCTTAGATGCCGTGATTCATAAGTGTTCATGTATATTCAAGTCACTAGATGTTCATATGAATACATATACACACACACAGAACATGTGAAACATGTGAACACATATGAAAACACACAGCCCTAGATGCCTTGGTTCATAGGTGTTCATGTACATACAGCAGAGTTGGCTCCTGAATATACAGAAGATGTTCATACGGTTCACATGTTGTTCATATGTCTAATCTTTTTTGTTTGATGTGGTTTGAAGATATACACAAATTGTTCATATGTCTGACAACTCGTGTATCAAAAATAGATTACTTTTTACTTAAATACCCTTTGATATTTTGTTCACATATGTTAAACGAAAATATTAATTTAATAATTAATTTTTAAATATCATTAAATCACAACCGTTTATTATTCAAATTAACGGTCAAGATTGATTAACAAAGTTAACACAATAATCTTGGTTAGCATTTGAACCAGCCCCTATATATATATATATATATATATATATATATATATATATATATATAGTTGGGTTCATGTGAGACCCGTCTGCATCCGTGAGACCATTTATTTACACTTGAAACTTCACAGCAAAATGTTGTGAAGGTAAAAATAAAATCGAACCTTCACAGCAAAAACATTGTAAAGGTTACTTTCACATCATTTTGCTGTGAAGTTTCAAGTGTAAAATGGTAATCTCACGAAAATATGTTGGTCTCACGTGATCCCATGTCTATATATATGTGGGGGGTAGTTTACTTTGCAAACCAAACCATTTGTACAAACCATTTTTATCCACCGATTTCATTGATCAATAACCAGGATTAAAGAAGAGTATTTATATCAACAACAAAAATTAAAATGCTTCATTTATTACAAGTGGTTGGAAAAGCAAAATCGTCAAAAAGTTATAGTCCTATTAGCAACAAGTGGATGAAATGGCGAAAATTTTCTACCTTATCGATTTGGTTAACCTATAATTATAGTAAATATCAACTTTTTGATTTATTAGGATATTATTACTGGTAACCGTTTAATTATGTTTTTTTTTCTATTTTGTTTGTTCTTGTAGTTTTTTCGTCAATAATTTAATTATGATAATTATTTTTATTTATGTGACTATACATTTGTTTCATGTATTTCTTCATCTTGATGAAATTGTTTTCATAAAATCATTTAATGTAATGAAATTATTTCATGTAAAATGGTTAGTGAAATAGTTATAATAAAATAGTTTCATTTAAATTATGAAATAAGATAAAAAAAGTATTATGAAAATATGAAAAAAAATGGTATGATAATCTCCGGAATCTTCATAATTCTGAAAAAAATAAAAATATTTAAAAAAAGGTTAGATGATGATCATAATATTCCTTCCCAAAATAATAGAAATTTATTAAATTCTTTAGTTAAGGGGTTATGAAGCATAATGAAAATTTTGCCCTTAACAATAAAAAAATTTACAAAAAAATTGATTGGCTGAATTCGATTTACAGAGTTTCTAAGAATTTGGGTGGATACGGCAAAAAATTACGGCTTTAACTGATCAAGATTTGCGGCTTTAACTGTTCAAGCAAAAGAATAGAGGGATAGTTTCGTAACTTTTACAAACATATGACAAACAATAGCATCTATAAACCCATAAGTGCATATATGAACCCCTATTTTATATGTGAATCAATTAATTAGTTCATATGTGAATCAGTTAATTAGTTCATATGTGAATAAGTTAATTGGTTCATATGTAAATCACACGAGTTCATATGTGAATCAGTTAAATAGTCCATATATGAATTACACATGTTCACATATAAACATATAATTCATATGTGAATCGCACGGGTTCACATATATACTTGTTTTACCACATATATGTAAAAGTTACGAAACCACGCATCTATCTTCCGCATACAATGCAAGGAATTATTTGATGCTTTACAGCCAAAGTTGCAAATGAAGGATATGATCACTTCTTTATTTCTCGAATACTTAATACTTCTCAAATGAACCAATGGCTATATATATGTGTGTGTATGTGATATATATATATATATATATATATATATCCTCTCATTCCCCCTCTCCTATAACATACATACACAATTAGATATGTATACAATGTGAACATATTGTAAACACAATAAAAACAATCTTAAGAAATTTCGTACTAAAATGTTCACAAGTAGTAGAGTGTCTTTTTATTCTCCAATCATATTCTCTACATCAATAACTATACATCATGTTAATAATATTTTGTATACGTTAATAGTTGTAATTTACCCTTTCTAATTATTAATAATACAAAACCAAAACCCGAGTTTGTGCAAGAGATAGAAACAAACAAAATAGAACAACTCCACTACAAGAAAACCCATTGAACATCGAAACCTAGGCCCACGAGTGGCTCTTGAGTCGCAACACCAATCTGCCCAAGAATTAGTGAAGCCTTTTGTACGACGAGATAACCAATGAAATGATAAACGTTGGATGTCGAAAGCCAAATCCGAATACAATTAATCCCGATCCAAAAACACCATTTTATTACAATAACTCCAAAATCACATACATTAAAATCCATAGAATTACTTGCAACAAAAAAACATCCACAATGAAGACCATGTTGGAGTTGATCCTACACCAAACATATTCTTAACATGTCTTCTTCCCTCCCTCTATATTTGTTTTCTATATTTCAAAAAATAAATTCTATTTAATAAAATATATATATATATATATATATTGGTTATTATACAACCTTTTACATTTGTACAACCAATACAACTCAATCTCAACCGTCCATTTAATTTGATAAATATGTGATTTCATAGAAGTTTTGATTGTTTCCTAATATAAAGTATTGATCATAATTAATGAACCATATTCATCTTTCATAAATATTCAAATCATAATAAATAAACTCTCATCATTTTTATAAATATCTCAATTAATTGGGTTGCATTGGTTGTACAAATGTGATGGATTGTATTTGAAACAATCTCTCTTTTATATATATATATATATATATATAAAAGGTGTGTATATATATATATATATATATATACACACACCTTTTCACTACAAGCAAACAAGAAGTCATTATTGACTTGTAAAACGACACCCGATCAAAGCCACGTCAGTGAGAGAAAGAATCGTAGCCGTCCAAAGTCCAAGTACGCGGGGAAAAATCGATAAAGCAGGCTCGTGTTAAGTCGTTAAATAGGGAGCCCATCGCCATAGACTCACACCACACCACACCACCCAAACCCATAAACCAACACATAATCTACCTGAGCTTTGGTACTACTTTCGTTGCACAAGTTACAACTCTCTGGTTTCATACCTTTTCACTAACGTTTTGAGGTCAGATTTCATCGATTCTCTATTTTCCTTCCATTTTTGGTTTTGTGTTGTGTTAGACCTTCCTAAACGAGTAGGCGTAATTTGGTCTGTTCGATCAATATTAACTGGGTCTTTTAAATAAATGATTATGGGTTTAAGATTCACCCATAACCGATCAGTTTCTTGAACCATAAGTGTTAACGTTTGATCTTTTACGTGATTTCAAAACGGAAGTTATTTGTTTTCCGTTTAAGGTTTTGAATTTTGGAACCCGAGAGTTATATTTTATGTTTGTGTTTATTTTAAATAAGTCTAAGCAGAACGAAAATAAAAGAATATTGAGGTTCCAATTGTGTATTTGACAACGGATTTGATAGAAGTGTTAACTTTTGTTTCGAATTTTGGGTATGCCCGCGATTTTGACATCTGTTATTGACGGTTTTTTTTTGATAATTTAATAGATAATATATAATTATTGAATTTGGTTACAAAGATCTAGACTATAGTTTCATCTACTCAAATAAACAATTACAGACGGGTAAAAGTGAAAAACAGGTATGATAATCGGTGCAAGATTACATCACAGTGATGTAAAATAAACGTTATGATAGTGTATTTTTGGTTTCCGGTTTGTATGGCAAACATTGAATTTTGGTCTTTAAGGTATCCACTTTCTTGGGACTTTGATGATTTTGTAGGGTTTGGTTTGGTGGACTCTCGAAAGTCTTTAGTTACCTTGTCGGATAAAGGTCAATAAATCGTAATTCAACATATATTTCAAAAATATAATTTCTTTAAAAAATGTTAAAAAAAAATTTGTATTCATTAAAAAAAAAATAGTTCATTTCGTTCCTATAGTTTAAGAGAGGTAAAATAACCGAAATAATCTTCACGTAACGCCAAGGCACATAAAATGGATATTAGGGCTCGGGACGAAAACCACAATCCCTAAAATCTTCAAATTTAAGGGATATCTCGAGGTGTGTTAATTATAAACGTAATTTCTATGATTTACTTTTTTTTCGTAAATAAACATGTAATAATAGCAATATCATTTTTTTTGCCTCTAGCATATAGCTGAGTTAAAAGGCAGGTGACTTAGGCTAAATACAAGATAGATCTCAGGTTTGATCCTGAACATCCCTGCTAGTTTCAGCCGCTAAGGGGCCGTTTACCTAAATACTTACCCGGTAAGCACTTACCGGTAAAATTCAACACTATCGTTTACTTACCGGATAAGATTTTATTCACTAAAACGCATCTTATGCAACAATTTATCCCGGTAAACGCTAACTACAGTAAGAGTCATCGTCCTCACTTACCGTTAAAACTCTCGATTTTTGTCTTCGCTCTTAACGGGTAAGATTTTTAGTCATTGTCGTATTCATCCGGTAAAGTAAAGTGACTTGGTAAACGCTTATCCGGGTAAGCGTTTTGTAACCGACACCTAAGTCAACCAAAAAATATCCCCTCACAATATTCTTAAAGCAGGTGTTATATAAGATCAATTATAATTGTTAGTAATCAATTTGTTACTCAAATAATATATATATATATATATATATATTTTTCAATAGGATGGGTGAAAAATTGAATAGGCAAAGTGAAATATAGGTGTCACGGGTCCATTTTGAAGGGTACTATTGTCATTGATAAATGTCACATGAATTTAGAGTACAACTTTGACAATTCTTTCTTTTAAGTCAAAGAAAGTAACTACAAGTGCGATGATTAAACATTTAAAATTATTTTAAATATAAAAAATATAAAATACAGATTTCTAAACAATTAATAATTAATTAATTATAACCCTAATTTTTGTTTAATTTTCAGATTAATTAATGGCAAATGATAACTTGAAAGTGCTTAATGCCCTTGATATCGCCAAGACTCAATGGTACCATTTCACCGCCATTGTTATCGCCGGCATGGGTTTCTTCACCGACGCCTACGATCTCTTCTGCATCTCTCTTGTTACCAAATTGCTCGGCCGGATTTACTATCACGACTACGGCGACGATAAGCCCGGTTCCCTACCACCCAACGTCTCAGCAGCAGTCAACGGCGTCGCCTTTTGTGGTACCCTAGCCGGTCAACTCTTTTTCGGGTGGCTCGGTGACAAAATGGGCCGGAAAAAAGTTTACGGGATGACCCTTATGCTTATGGTTATTTGCTCCATCGCTTCTGGACTTTCGTTCAGCAGCGAGCCGACGGCGGTTATGGCCACCCTTTGCTTCTTTCGGTTTTGGCTTGGTTTTGGGATCGGCGGTGATTACCCTCTTTCCGCCACCATCATGTCGGAATACGCCAATAAGAAAACTCGAGGGGCGTTTATAGCGGCGGTTTTCGCCATGCAAGGGTTTGGGATTTTGACAGGTGGGATGGTGGCGTGCATCGTCTCGGCCGCGTTTAAGTCGAAATTTCCGGCTCCGGCATACGAGGTGGATCAGTTGGGGTCGACGGTGCCGGAAGCCGATTACGTGTGGCGGATAATTTTAATGTTCGGCTCAATTCCCGCTTTAATGACGTATTATTGGCGGATGAAGATGCCGGAAACCGCTCGGTACACGGCCTTAGTTGCGAAAAATGCGAAACAAGCGGCGGCGGACATGTCGAAAGTGTTGCAAGTCGAGCTCGAAACTGATCAAGAGAAACCATCCGAGACCCGAAAGAACGAGTTCGGGCTCTTCTCGAAGCAATTCCTCCAACGACACGGGTTACATTTGCTCGGAACAACTAGCACGTGGTTCTTGCTCGATATCGCGTTTTACAGCCAAAACCTATTCCAGAAGGACATTTTTAGTGCGATTGGATGGATCCCGCCTGCAAAAACAATGAACGCAATCCAAGAGGTTTTCAAAATCTCGAGAGCTCAAACGCTCATTGCGCTTTGTAGTACGGTCCCGGGATACTGGTTCACTGTGTTTTTTATTGATAGGATCGGGAGATTCGCTATCCAATTGATGGGGTTCTTCTTCATGACTGTCTTCATGTTCGCCCTCGCGATTCCTTACCATCACTGGACACAAAAAGAAAACCGAATTGGATTCGTTATCATCTACGCTCTGACGTTTTTCTTCGCGAATTTCGGACCAAATGCCACTACATTTGTCGTTCCGGCTGAAATATTTCCAGCACGACTCCGGTCGACATGCCATGGGATATCGGCGGCTTCTGGCAAGGCAGGGGCAATAATTGGTGCTTTTGGGTTCTTGTATGCGGCTCAGAGCCAAGACAGTTCAAAAACCGATAAAGGGTACCCGCCCGGAATCGGAGTCAAAAACTCACTCATCGTTCTCGGGGTTGTGAATTGTCTCGGGATGTTGTTTACGTTCTTGGTACCGGAATCGAATGGCAAGTCCTTAGAGGAAATGTCGAGGGAAAACGAGGGGGAGGACGAAGAAGTCGTTGAGATGGACCACGTTAGGGCTCATGAAAATAGAACAGTCCCAGTTTAAACTGGTTATAAATACGGTTTTGTTTTTCTTTGAAAAAAATCAGATAGTTTTATAAACTAAAAGGTCTAAAACGAGGTTATGCTCTAGCATACGATGCTTCGGATCATAGACATAACGTACGTGGGACGAGGTCATTAGCATATGCTACTTAAACTTGGTTTATACGTACTTATAAACTTAATTTCACCGAGTAATGAAAGTAGAGGAAAGCATTATACTTTTATCCCGCATACATTTAACCGAGCCTTTTTCTTTAACAACTTCTATCAGATTGTGTACACGTCGACTAATCTTGCTAAACCTTGAGGTTTACGACCTAACAAATATACAGTGGTGCTGATGGAACTCGAAATGGGGAGCAAATTAATGGTTTGACTGCCTGAAGGATCAAGTCTTTTAACCATTTTTTTTCAAAACTGAATATTTATTTTGTTTGTGTATTTTCTTTAATTTAAATTTTTTATTATAATTTAATTTACCGTAATAAAGTAACTTAATTTAAGTTTAATAATATATTTTTTATAAAGATAATAATTAAGTATTCTGTTAGAACTCAATAATTATCTTAATTATATTTTATTTTTTATATTTTAAAATAATATGTTTATCATCTATTTGATTATGTTTATCCACAGTTAGATACACGAATTCAAACATAGAGCTTTAATAAATTGTATTTATACACAATTTACTTGTGATCTTGAATTTTAAGTAATATGCATCAATAAATAGTACTTTATGCATAAAAAATGATTTTTAAAAGTTTTTATCAAATGCTTTATAATATAGTATAGATTAATGTATTTATCCAATAAATACACTAAAATCAGCAAACATTTATATGACATGTAATATGTGTTTCACAATTTATTCCTATGTGTAAAAGCGCTCAAATAAGTATACAAACATTCACTAATGCAAATTACAGAATTCAATATCAGAATAATATTGTCGCAACACATGATTATTAAATAGAAAGTAGAAACTTAGAAAATAGAAAAACTGAAAATAAGATTATTAAAAAAAACAAAAAAAACGTGTTGTATTGTTAACTAAACGTTTTTTTAATAAATAATTTAAATAGGTACAACTCATATATAAGATCAAGGATCGTGTGAGAATAGTGATGACCAAACCGGCCCGGGACTGGTAAGCTCTGTTTATAAGACCGTCGATCGGGACCGGTTACGATTTTGCAGGGTTTCGAGAGACCGCCCCGGTTTTTAATATAGTAGCCGTTTTTTTTAAATATAGCCGTTTATATAATCGTTTATGACTGTTTTTTTGGTCTTTTTTGCCTTCTAAACCTTATATATAAGTATCATGGTGAAGGATTTACATATCAACTTACAAAACGCAAAAAAAGCAAAAAAAAAAAAAAAAAAATCACAATTCTCGGTTTCTTGCTATATTTGTGTCTTCGACTCGTATTTTTAAAGTGTATTTGAGTGACCAAATTACAAATTTTATAATGTATTAAAAAAATCTATCATTAAAACGTTTTTACAAAAAATTGGCTGGGACCGGGACCGGGTAACCACAACCGATTATAGGAATGCTTATCCGGGCTTAGTATTTTCGACCGGGACCGGTTATGACCGGCAGTGTTGAGGTCCGTGACCGGTTTTTGGCCATCACTATGTGAGAAAAGGAGTTAAAGGCAAAAAACATAATAAGGGATTTGGACCCTTGATCACTTTTTAATCTCACCTCATCCCATGAATTGCGGTTCTCACAAAAATTGTTCTGGTGCATCTCATTAATATTGATATTTATTTATAATTGATCTAAACGTGAAGATCCTTTCTTATCTTTCTCATCAAAACTTTCTTTCTCACCAGAACCCAACCCTAATATATAAATTGATTGGTTTATGTTGATACAAAATTGACACCCCTACACAACACTAAAAGTTGAAATCCTAGTACCTTAGATATTGGTGTCACATTATTAACGTTTTAATGTTACATACAATTTGTTTTAGCAAAATATAAAATTGTCTCATATTTCAAGTCTTTCTGAGATGTGATATAAGGGATGTTTGGTTGGTTTTCATTTAATATGATATGATAAAGTTGTTTGTGTGAATTAATCTGCTTTTATAGATTGAGAAAGTGTTTATTTGTGACAGTGTTTTCATAGATGGAAAGAACATTTTTTTTAATTAGAATGAGCAAATTTGGAAGCAAAAATTTAACTTTCTATATAAAGTTTCCTTTATAAGCACCGAATAAATCACTTTTTGTATCATTAAATAATTACTAAATAGTCATTTATAACTGAACTAACTAAATAAATCGTGAATCTCATTAAACTGATAACAAACAGATAGTAGCATTTCTAAAGCTATTAAAAATCAAGCAAAATGATTTTTTTTCTACTATTTAATAATTTATTGAGTAATATGCAAATTTATATTTAAGTGGTTTTTGACTTTTTTTTTTCTTTTCTCTAAACATTTTTATATTAAAAATAACCAGCCAAAACTAATTTTCTAATCATTACATGGAAATATCATTTTATAAACAAAGTATTGTTTGGTTTTTTATAAAAAAGCTTTTATTAGTCATTTATGTTTGTTTCGTTAAAAGGTAAGGTCATTCAGACTATGTTTTTTTAATTTTTCAGAGGCAGTTATGTTTTATTTTCCTCTTATCTAGCAAGCAGTAAACTAACCTCTTATTTGCCTCTTATTGTTCTTCAAATCCAAAACAATGACGTTTCTCAATCGATTGACCTTAATTGATGATTTCTCTCAATTGATCTTTACCAAATCAATCCTCACCTCTCTCAGTTAATGCATTTTAATAGGCTATAAATGTGTTAAACACCTTTAATGATATATTTTTGTTTAAATGAATATTAATTATATAATTTAAATATAAATTTCATAATGACGATGAATAAATATGTGAAATTATAAAAATTTATCTATAAATTCTATACTATAAATTTAATGGGTAAAATTGACAATTTAAACAAATTCAGACGTTTATTAGTTTAGTCCGCACCACCTCTTATAAATCAGAAGTGAAATAAGGTTTCAGACTTCTACACTTCTTAAAAAACAAATGTTACCTTATTTTTTTTTAAATTACGCAAAATCATAATATATAATTGAGAAAAGTAAACAATATAATAAAATAAAAATCAATATTGAAAATTCAAATTCTTTAACTTCAAAATTGAAATGCCTCTAAATACACGTCGGTGACGTTTATTTTTTAAGAGATGCTGAAATCTGAAATCTGATTTCACTTCTGATTTATAAGAGATGGTGCTGAAGTCTGAAATCTGAATCAGTCAGACTGTTTGCTTTTACGTCTGAAGTCTGAATCAGTCAGACTATTTGTTTTTACATCTGAAATCTGAATTAATAGATTGTTTGTTTATGAAATCTGAATCAATTCATTTTAATTAAATTCAACTGAATTGAAATATCCAATCATTTTAAACCATTTGTAAACTACCATCTATTTTTAACACATTCAAAACTTCAACTAAAATACGCCATTTGATTCCACACAAGATTGATTAATGATTCTTGCAAATGGTTTTTAACAGTTGAAGATATTTATAATAACTTCTAAAATCTAGTGGCTACATTAGAATGAGCGAAAATAAACCAAACCAACCTAGGAAAGAGACGAAGAAGAAAGAGCAGAGGGAGATCGATTTGGGTTAATGGCAAATATCTTCAGAAAACCACAGGACGAAATCAAAACATAAATTAATGGCAAAGATTGATTTGGGTTTAACATATTGTACCATGTATGTATGAAACGACTTGGGTTTAAAATCTGGAGATCGCCATATCTTTTGGAGCTCGACATGCCGAGATCGATTTGGAGAGATTGAAAGCTTGAGAGATCGACAACTTGAGAGATCAGTATGGCTTGAGAAAATTGATAGAGTTTAGGTTATCAGCTTGAGAAGCGAGATCAAGATCGACATGGTATGCGAATAAGAGCCGATTAAGTGTTTAGGGTATCACTTAAAATTTCAGAGGACGGTAAGAGTTTTTCAACTCTTATTTTGGAAAAAAAAATCGAGCAGTCAGAAAAAACAAAAGGTCTGACCTAATCAGACTTAAAAAAAGATATTAAGAGGTTGTTTGTTTACCTCTTAATAGTTCCATTAAGAGGAAACATCTGAATCGTTAAGAGGTGAATCTTGTTTGGCAAAAAAAAGTCTGCTTCTTAATGGTTCTAAAACACTCTTAATGATTTTGTATCATAGATCTTCCTTAACCATTAAGAGCCCTAATTTCATCGTACATAATTACCAAACAATTATATTTCATTTTATACTATATCATGAGAGTCTCTTAATTATTCTGATCATTTAATCATTTTACATCAAACCATTCAGTAATTACCAAACAATCCTTAAGTGGAAACATTCACTTCAAAAGAGTATTCCAATCCAAATTGGCCCCTGCCACCCCCACAAAAGTCCAAATGGTCTCTTCAAAATTGGGGGCTACGTTGATTTATGAACCATGATACCAAAAGCGATAGCCTTTGAAAATGTTAAGTCAAACCATCTTTTTACATTTTTTATTTCTATAAATTACATAAATTTTGTTAAAAATGAAGGGTTCCTTAATTATCAAATGCTAGGTAAAGTAATTGGATCACGTATAGTTTGTTTTTCAATCAGTAGCGGATCTAAAATTTTTTATCATCGGAGACACACTTAGAGGTGTAAAGAATTCCGAAACCAATAACTCATTCAGAAGATGATGGTTTCGGGTGATTCAGTTTTTCGAATTAAATGGTTCTATTAACCCAATAAAGATAACTTATTTTGTACGGATTTCGGTCAAATAAAATTTCTATTTTTGTTAAAATTTGAGTGATTCATGATGGACCAGATAACGAGAGAAACAAACCACTAAACCAATTTGTTTGTTGGAGTTAAAAACTAATTTATACAAACCTAGTGAAAAATAATTAAGAATGTTTAATAGTTAATAAACATATAAATTAGTAGTCAACAACAAAATATTTGAAAAAAAGGAACCAATAAATTAAATTCAATTAGAAAGAAATCATATAGTAAAAAACAATAAATAAAAGATAAACGAGTAGCAAACTAAAATCGTAATAATAAACCTAAATTAAATAAGAAACTCAAAAACAGTGGCAGAGGCTCGTGGGGGCCAAGACGACTGTACTTTTTTGTGTGCTTAGTAAAAGCACATGTGATTGATTAGTGTTGA